AAGAATACAAACAGATTTATCCTGGAGAGGGTTAAAGCAGGCTGCTCCTTGGAGGCAAGGATTCTGAGGCTTTGTCTAATATACTTTGGACATGTTGTAAAGAGGGACCGGTCCTTAGAGAGGGACATCATGCTTGGGAAGGTGGTGGGACAGCGCAGGAGGGGAAGGCCCTGTATAAGGTGGAATGATTTAGTGACTGGGATAATCAGGATGGATGTGTCGGAGACAGTACAATTGTCACAGGACAGCAGAGTTTAGGGCTGTTGTACATAGGGTTGCTATGAGTCGCAAACGACTTGACAGCACATAACAACAACAACAACAACAAATACATAGGAACCAACTCCCTGCTTCCCTCCAGTAGGTTTTCAGAGGCAGTAAACTGCCTGGGAGCAGACTTCCTATCTTTCTCCTGTGGAGCAGATGGTGAATTCAAACTGCATGCTTTTGGGATTACAGCACAGTTTCTCACCACCAGGCTATCAGGATTCCCTTTCTCCTTACTAGATTTAGTCACTACCTTGAGGTAGATTTAGTCACCACCAGAAGGGAAATATCTCTTTATTGAATATGGTTGTAAACCCTGCAGCTAAAGGTTAACTTAAATTTAGATTTAGTAGAGTTAAATGGTCTTTCAATTATAATTCAGGGTAGAAATAAAAGTACATAGAAGAGTAATTAGTCACACAGGGAACTGAGATTGTCATCTCTCAAGGACAGATCACAAGGTTTCAGATGCAGGAGTGGTTAGTACGACACTTCTCTCCACGTGACACCCTCCTGACACAGCACTGATGGACTGCAAGTGAAGTAGTTCTACTCCATTTGAGGGGGAAATGAAACTATGACAAAAGAGGAGGAACAAGACAGGAAATGCAACCCAAAGCCCCAGTCTTCTAAAAAATGTCTCCAACAATTACATCATTAATCCTACACGAGTTAAAAGCTCTCAAATTTAGATTTTAAAGTCACTTGAGGCTGCAGCACAGCCAGAACATTCTGATGATGCCAGAATGACCTGATGGGAAACAGTGGGCAAGAATGTGTCATTAAGCGTTGCAAATAAATATGAGAAAGTTGTGGGTTTTTTTCCAAAAAATAGAAAAAAGCTCCTCAAATGACATGTATCATGTTCAGAGAGACTAGCCCATTGGGGTAGCCGCCTGACTAGGATGCCCTCGCCTTTTACTCACGGTCCCTGGAGTCATAGGAGAGGTACTCGGCCAGGAAGCCGGTGTCGGTGTATGAATGGTCCGAGTGGAAGCGGACGGTCATCTTGCTGCTATTACTGGTGACCACAAACTGGGGCTTCTCTCCACAATGCCTGAAGGGGAGGGTACAATGAGACTAGGAACCTTCATCAGCCTCTGGGATGTGGCCAGGGCCCCAGCTACGCACTTCTCTCCATTGACCTCCACATAGTCCTTGGTGCAGCTGGCCGGTGGCATGTTGGGCTCCACCAAGTAGAAAACTTTGAAGCGCACCTTCACATACCGGTTGTTGGGCACCTGAAGAGAGAATGGCTACTATCCATGCTCTGCTTTCCCTCCCAGAGACTCCAGGGCATCATGTGAGGGACATGGGACAGCTGGAGAGCAAGGGGGGAATGACAACAACATGGTACCAAACCTCCCAAACTGAGCTCATGTGCTAACACGGAATGCACAGCAGACACATTTCTGTTTTGATGTTCAGAACTTACAGACTATGGGCAGGAAGCACCATAAGAAACTGGAAAGTTCTCCAGCTGTTATGTGAAGGGCTGTACCACTGACAAGGCTCTCTTCTAGCTGTGATGTGATAAGTGCTTAGGACTTAGCCCTCATCAGCACCCAATAGAGAGCAATCACTCCCCTCATTTTACCAATAAACAGCTAAGGTCCCTCAGCCACCAGGTCTGCGATGTTGAAATAGACAATCTGAATGAACCCCTACATGCCGGTGGGGCTCAGAAACGGGCCCCCCAGCTGACTGAAGGAGTTCAATACTGCCTTCTCTGCTCACCCCGTGTGCCACCACAGAACATCTATCATTCTCACACAGTCACAGCACCTACCTCAATGTTCCACACGCAGTCAATATTGGGTGGGAAGTGACCTGGGTAATAGGGACTGCTAAATGTCCCTTGGGCTTGACGTAAGTAACCACCACAACCTGAGAAGAAAGAGCAGGAAAGACATTATGCAGATTCAAGAACTTGTCTGGTCAAGGACGCAGGGGGAGCATGGTTGGCTCCCTGAGGAGAACGGTCTGAGACAGATCTAAACTCTCCTCATGCAGCCCCATATGAGAAGACTCTGCAGGGCACCTGGTCAGAGGTAGTGGCACATATGGTAGTGCGCTCACTACTTTAGCAAGGACTCTTGCTCCAGACTATTGGCAAGGTGCCTGTGACCTCAAAGTTTCAGACACTGTTGTTCATCGAGCCCACCTGTCACCTACCAAGGGTTTAACCTGTGGTTGTGAGCCCTGGTCAACCTAAATGGCACAGGCCCTCCTCCTTGTGGAGGATAGTCCCGCCCACTTGACCATCCTTACTGCTCAACTTGGGCAGTTGGAAGAAGGCAGCCTCAAAGCCTGGATGTCGCCGCTCAGTGCTGGTGATCAGTGTGACGAGGAAGACGTTCTGGGAGGAGAGGAAGGTCAGGTTGTAGGAGGGAGGGTAAGTGCCGCATAGCCTGTAGGTGTGCAGAAGGAGGAGGTGTTAGGAAGAAGAAAGGACACAGACCACAGCGGCCACACAGGCTACTCCAAGTCCCTGCCAGCCACAGCCCGCCTGTCCCCAGGGCACAAAACTAACCCAACACAAATGTCATTCCCACACTTGGATGTTTCTGGGATCAGGATGTGCCTGACAACTGATGTCAAAATGAAGCTGCCAATCTTCCGCTGATGACAGCTATGACACCCAAGTGCACTTCCAGTTGTCAGCTATGCAACTAAAGTTTGAATTCCTAAGCATATTAGACAGTAACTCTGGTGGTCCAGTGGTTAAGAAGCTGTGCTGCAGTCCCAAAGGCTCATGGTTCAAATCCATCAGCTGCTCCGCAGGAGAGGGATGCACAATTTGTTCTGATGCGATTTACTGCGTCTGAAAACCTGCTGAAGGATCAGCTATGGGTCAGTTCCAACTTGAAGGCACACACAAGAAGAATCACATTATAATGTTTTTTAAAAGGTCCGGCCACAAAAGACCAAGCGTGAGGTTAAACAGACCCTCAATTATGTGCTGCCTACCACAAGCAATCAGGGAAGAAAGGACTAATACTGTCTTTAAAATAGAAAAATCTTCACCCACCACTGTCAAGTTTATTCCAACTCATGAATTCATGGAGAACCGCCATCATATTTCTGAGGCTGTCAATCTTAATAGGAACAGACAGCTTCACCTTTCTCCCAAAGAGAAGCTATTGGATCCACACTGAAAACTGACCTTCCACACTGAAAACTGACCTTTCAGTTAGCAGTCCACCAAGAAAGTAATGCTATCATGACTCCTTAGCAAATCTTCAGTCATTAAACACCTAACATTAACGGTAGACTGAATAGCACCAACAGTAGTTGTATTAACAACAACTAACATTCTTAGGACCCTTCCAGGCACCATTCAAGGGCTTCAGTATCTGATTAGCTACATCATTCTCACAGAAACCCTGTGAAGTAGACACTAGTAACCCTATTGTACAAATATGGGAACTGAGGCTGCAGGACAGGAACTCCCTACTGATTATGCCATTAGAACCCCCCAATGAAGGATCACCAGACCCAAATACATCGTGAGGGAAAAGTAATGAAAAAGGTTATTATTTTTTTTTCCCATGCACATTTCATGATTACTAAGAACTCTGTGCCAATATTCAAGTGAGCATTTTTTGGAAAAGCTTCGGGAGTCCACCACCCAGCCCATCACAGCCACTGAGAATGGTACCTAAAGACTTGACTAGTGATCCAGAGGATCAGGACATATTTCATTTAATAAGCTGTTGTTGTTAGCTGTGGAGTTGGAACCAACCCGTAACTGACCCTCTGATGGGCTTTCAGAGGCAATTAATTGTATGGAAGAAGATTGCCCATCCTTCTGTGGAGTAGCTGGTGGATTTGAACCACATGCCTCTGGGATTGCAGCACAGCTTCTTGCCTCTAGGCTACTACATCTCCCTAAAAAAGCAGGTAGAGAGACAGAATGTACAGCATAATTATAGTTTTAGACACACACACAACAGAAAATCTGAACGAAGAAACATAAAAACATCACATAAATGGTTATTTCTACATAATGAGGTAATTAGAGGTTATATTTTATTTTTTTATCTTTTGCTTGCTGGTAAGAGATTAATTGATGGGGAAGAAATCTTCCACAAAAAGGGTGCTGAGTAGCAGCACCTGCTGACAGACCGTGACAACAGATGGTCACCTCTTTTGCTCAGGCATCCATGGCCCCAAATCCTAGACTGTGTCTGTTCTTATACACTAGAGGCACCAGCAGCCTTCTCATCCTCCCTAAGGCTGAGAAACCCTCCAAGATGCTCCCCTGGAAGCCAAGGGTGGTCTCTGGCCTGGACCCTACCCTGGCACAGGAGCAACCAGTGGTGGGAATAGGGTGCATGCCTATCTATGACATCCATTCCCCATAATGTCCATCCCCATGATGGGACCCCAAGTGCCAGGTCCACTCCCCTCTCCACACTTACTGCACCACAGCTTGGGGCTCCACAGGGCTCAGGCTGTCGTAGACTGTCACCAGGTCACTACCCCGCTCATCGCATGGTGCCAGGTGGAAGCTGCGGAAGGTGAGACTGAGCACTGAGTCGGCATCTCCACGCAGCACCCAGCTACAATGTGCGTGTGCCGGGTATGGGCTGTCGGGGAAGCCAGGCGTGGTGAAGCGGGTCGTTTTGGTGCCCTGTGCATGCAGCGCGAAGCTGCAGCTGCCTGTGGGGAAACAGGGAGCCACAGCGTGAGGGTGGCCCAGGCCAGTGGCATGGCTCTAGTCCAGCATGGCCCCATCCCCCTGGGATCTGGGCAAGCTGGAGGGTTAGGTAACTGTTACTGCTGGAAGTGTCTGAGGGTCCCCATGGCCATCTGCTTCACCCCCCACATGGAGCAGGCATATACTTACTGTCCCGAGTGGTCTGCACTGTTCTAGGGTCAGTGGCTGGAGAGAAGGAAGAAGGCAGTGTTTATTGGTGCTATTCCCCTATTCTGGCTCCCACTTGGGTTGGGGAATTCTGGTTTCACCCTCTCCCTCCAGCTTGGAGGCTCGTCCCTGCCAGCCACACTCACGGAAAGCTACCACAGAGGTCAGCATGAAGGAGTGGTGTGATCTCTGGCGTGGAGGCAGTGTGACTGTGTGCTCCTTGGCCATGGCGCGCTCAGCCTCCTCCACCAGGGCCTGTGGGATGCTGAACTCCGACCAGTAGTAGGCAATGACGCTGCCCTCGCTGCAGTGGAAAGAGGGGCAGAGCGGTGGGCTCAGTCCCCAGGAACCCCTTCTCCACTTCTCCCACGGGCATCCCTTCTTCCATAGCCCACACCTCCCACTGATGGCAGAAGCAGGCAGTTCAGAGGCCACCCACAAACCAGGCAAGACAGCAGAGTCCCCGTGCCCCAAGGCAGAGTCCATGCACCCCAGATTCCTTTCTTCTCATTGACCTTTTGATTTTCTAAGCAAAAGTTTGTGCCCCTCCACCCTCCACGTGTGTCAGCCCAGAAGAGTTTAGGACAGTCACTCAAGTCCCACCTTCCTAAGTGTGCTTTCTAGTCTGGAAATGGGAGATGGTAATGATACCTGACACATGGCAAAAAGGATCAGACTGAAAGTACTTGTCAAAATTGGTGCGGCCATTATGCTGAGTGAAATATCTCAGTCACAAAAGGACAAATTTTGCATAGGGCCACTGTTGTAAAACGGGACTGACAGTGGGATTGAGGAAAGACAGAGAAGGAGGGGATGAATGATGTATAGTGTGTTGAAACAGATGAGGGAGAGAACTGTTTAAAAGGGATATATGATTGGGTATTATTGTCATGATAGGAGTCCAGAACGAAGGCTGCACGGTAGAAAGAACTTAGGGGGAGGGACTGCATAACAATGAGAGTTTTTCTTTTACTTTTCAAGGAGAAGAGTGAATTGGGAGAAGGGGGTGGGCAAGGAGAAAAGTGCAACAATGAATGACTGGAAACCCTAAGTCTCTGTAAACTTTCATTAAAATTAATAACAAAAAAAACAACAAAAAAACAAGACAAACCCTACCCCCACAAAAAAAACCCCCACAAAACCCCAAACTGGTGCAGCAACATGAATGAGTTACAAATATTGATGTGGAAATAAGGCAGTGGTAAGGGCTCTGGACATCTGTGCACTGTCAGCCCCTCACCTGAGGCTGAGGAAATGCACCCACCTGAAGGCAGTCACTGCCGACTCTTTGTGGTAGGGGCCCAGGGCTGGAATTTTGTTGTATAACAGCTTCAGCTGAGGGTAGAGAGAAGGCTCACAGAAACCACACAGCCTAGAGGGCCCTTCCCCAGGCCCAGGCTTTCAACAAGTCCCCATCATGCCCCCAGCCCAAGGACCTAGGACAAAGATGCAGAGAAACCAGCTTCCTTCTTCTGTCAGGCTGAGGACACCAGGGCAGGAGACAGGGTGTTGCCTCAGACTCACCGCTTCCTTCACCTGGTTGGCTAGTTGTGCAAACTCTGCGGTGGTGGAGTTCTCATAAGCATCTATAAAGTTCTCATTTTTGATCCTCAGGTGGCCATTGAAGACCTTCTGCACCCACACATTCCCACCTGGGAAAGACCAGGGAAAGGAGGGCAATCAGAGGAAGTGGGCCCATGCTCTCCCTCCTGCCTACCATATCTCTTAGGGGAATGCCAGGATACGACCAGCAGACATATGAAGCTGCTGGCCAGCTCTGCCAAACCTCTACATCTTGCACTCTCTCCTTACTGATGTGAAAATAAGGAGCCAAGAAAGACTTAAAAATCGCCTCCTCGCCCCTCACCAAAACTCAACACCTCAGCTAAAATACTCTCTTTCCTCTCATTTATATGACACCCAAGCAGTAATAGGCAAAATCCAGGAAGTGGACCCAGGCATATCTACTGAGGAGGTATTGCTGCTCCAAATTGCCCTTCCCAGAGGCAATTCCCTTGGCCTTACCCCGTAGATGCCACACCAGGACACCAGCCAGAAGAGAAAGCAGGAGAATGACTGTGATTACAATGGCCAGCACCACCCAGCGTCTAGGGCCCCGCTTCTCCACCTTTTTGGCATTGTTGACTGGCAGGAACTCCACGGCCTCCTCACAGCCATTCATACTCTGAATAGAGAAACACATGGAGGCTCATAAACTTACTCTTTCTCATCAACAGCCTCCCTAAGAAGCTTCACATCTTTTGAAGTCCAGTTTGGAGAATAAGGCAAGGCTATAGAGAGAAGGTTAGTCTTCAAGTACATGGAACGTTCTGCCCAAAGACATGTGAATCTAGTCCATCCTATCAGGGGAAACCAGGAAGAGGGCTTCCTGCCTGGGTCTCCCAGTGTCTGCACAGCCCCAGGCTCATAATGTGTAAGATGTGAATATTTAAATAAAAACTAAATGAAACTTCCTCAAACAGTTAAACATAGGAGTACCCTATAACCCAGCAATCTCATTCCTTATACCCAAATACAACCCCATTCTTTATACCCCAAAGATTTGAAAGTAGGGACTCAAACAGCTTTGTGTATACTTAGGTTTACTAAAGTATAGTTCACGTCAATAAAAGGTAGAAAACAGATGAAAATCAACAGATGAAAGGACAAACAAATGTTGTGTAGGCAATGGAGTATCATGCAGTCCTAAAGAGAAATGAAGTCCTGGCACACGCTATGGCACAAATGAATCCTGAAATACACTGAGTGAAATAAGCCAGACACAAGAGGGCAAACATTGTGCAATGCCACTTATGAGAGCTATCTAGACTAACCAGACATACAGAGACTGAAGTTTGTAGTGGGAAGAGGGAAAGAAGAGGCTTATTAAGTGGTGCTGAGTTTTCCCCACTCTCACCACATTTGAACACTTGTATTTGTTATTATATTTATCTCTAATAAATAAGATTGGTTATCCTTACTACTTATAACACACACACACACACACACACACACACACACACACCCCCTAAAACCACTTTAAAATGGTCTCAGTTTTTCCTGGAATGTGTCTTAAATAATGTCAGTATCATTATTTCTCTCTTTTTTAAAACTGTTTGCAGAGCAAATTGCTTTTCCAGTCACTCACTCATTCACTTTTGGTTTATGGCATCAATTCCAATAGTCACAGTGTAAACATACTTTCCCCACATTATTTCTGTGAGCCTCTTTTCCACTAGTTCTTCTATACTCCCTTCTGTCTTCTAAGCTTTATCCCTGGACAAATACTGCCCTTTGGGGGTTTTGAGAGTGATTTTTATTTTGTATGTGTGGTTTCCCCCCAGCACAGGCCTTTTTTTGAAATTGGCCTTTATTCTATCATTCACACACACTTTGCTTCTTGTCACCACTCTGCCTTTTCGACCTGTATGGTTGATTGTTTTAAGGTGTGAGTGCTTTCCTGCAGTCACTGTTCAATTCATAGGCCTATTTTCTCACAGGAATTTGAGCTATATGGTTAAGTTTTGTTACAGGCTCAAAGGGTGATCAATGGCCATAGGCTTGGGGATTCCACTACTTTCTACCAGATCAATAAGTCTGGCCATTTTTATGTTTTTGAGTTTTGTTCCACACTTGCACCCACTCTACCCAGGACGCTTCAACTGCAATTCCTTTTAGAAAGGCCAGCAGTGGTAAGCCAGGTACCATCTAGTTCTGGTGATGCCACTATCTCTCAATTCATCAATCTAAAATACAATCAGCTGAGAAGAAAATATCTAGGAAGAAATCTACCCAGGAATTGGAAAGATTTTTACAATGAAAATTACAAACCTCTACAGAAAGAGACCAAAGAAGATGATCTAAATATATGGGGAAAACATTCTGTGCTCATGGACTGGGTGAACTGAGTCAAGATGTCAATACAAGAAAGCAATCTACAGACACACAGTTCCAATCAAAAGTATTGAAACATTAATTATAATATCCGGAACGTGTTCAAACTCTTCCTACTCCTTCCCTGTAATTTCCACACTTACCAACCCTCCTATCCTATGTCTTCCCGCCTTCTAGGTTTTATCCTTGAGCAAATAGTGCTCTTTTAATTCTATATGTTTGTTATTCTAAGGAATGAGTGCTTCCCTGGTATTAGTGAGAACTCCACAGAAGAAGTTCAAGCTACACTGAAGGCACTGGCAAAATATAAAGCCCAATGAGTTGATGGAATACCAACTGACATATTCTAGCAAAAAGATGCAAATCTGGATGTGATTGCCAAGTTGTGCCAAGAAATCTGGAGGATAACTAGATAACTACCTGACCTAAAAAAGATTCATATTTTTTCTTATTCCCAAGAAAGGTGATCCAATGGAAGTAGAAATTATCAAACAGTATCACTAATATCACACAAAAGCAAACTCTTACTTAAGATTATATAAAAATTACTAGAATAGTACATTGACACGGAATTGCCAGAAATTCAAGACAGATTTAGAAGAGGGCATGGCCCCGGGTATATCATGGCTGATGTCAGATGGGTCTTGGGCAGAAAATAGAGAACACCAGAATGATGTCTATCTGTGTCTTATTGACTAAGCAAAGGCATTTGACTGTGTGGATCACAACAAATTATGACTAACATTGAGAAGAATGGGAATCCCAGAACAATTATACCTAGACTAAGAAGCTATTGTCCAAATAGATAGAGTACTAGCACGCAGACTCAACAGCCACAGTTTCTTGTGACAGTGGTTTAAATAGTGGTGCACACAGCAGCAGATAGACCGTGTCGCCTTTTAGGGGCTACACTGTGCCCCCTGAAAGTGAATATGGAGGTTCTATGCCCCTAGTGAAAACAAAAAAAAAAAAATAGAGCAAGGGAACACTGTATGGTTTAAAATAAAGATGTACATCAGGGTTGTATCCTCTCTCCATATATACTCAATCTGTATGATGAGTAAATAATCTGAGAAGTTGGAAGAAAAGAGTGGAATCTGGATCAGTTCAAGATGTAACAACAACCTGTGTTATGCAGACAACACAACCTTGCTCGCTGAAACTGAGGAAGAGTTGAAGTGTTTGCTGCAGAAGATCAAGGACTAGTCTTCAACATAGATTTCAACAACATTTAAAAAACCCAACATCCTCATCACCAGACCAATAGACAATAATATCATGACAGATGGGGGAAAAATTAAAGTTGTCAACCAACAATTTCAATTATTTGGATCCACAATCAATACCCTTTGTACCAGCATTCAAGAAATCAAAAGATGAGTCATACTGGGAAAATTTGCTGTCAGGGACCTCTCCAGAGTACAAAACAGTGAAAATGTAAGTTTAAAGACTAAGGTATACCTGATCCAAACCATGGTCTTCTCAATTGCTTGCTATGCATCTGAAAGTTGGGCAGTGACTGAGGATAATTGATGCCTTTAAGTTGTGTTGTTGAAGAAGAGTAATAAGTATCTTATAAGTATCCAAGAGAATGATAAATCTTGGAGAAAGTGAAACCAGGGTGCTCCTTGGAGACAAGGAAGGTGAAACTCCATACTTTGGACACATTGTAAGGAGGGGCCAGTTCTTGGAGAAGAATATAATGCTTTGAAAGGTACCCTATGAAGTGTCCTTCCTTAAGGACTACCTTATATGGAAGTGGACTACCATATTGTTCTCCTTTCAAGCAAAGAGTGGGTTTGAACCACCAACCTCTCAATTAGCAGCTAAGCAATTTACAATTGTGCCACAAAGGCTTCTTATGGAAATACAAGAAATCTAAAATAGCTAAACTGACTTTTTTTTCTATATTTTATTAATTTTCATAAACATTTACAGAGATTTTGGGTTTCCATTCATTCATTGTTGCACTATTCTCTCTACCCTCATCCCAGTTTGTTCTTGTCCAAATGCCACAGTGCTTGTCAAAGCTAGTTCTGATTAATCTTCTTTGTCAGTGTGTCCTTT